AGAATCCCACATGGGCAACCGGTTTGAGTCCCGGCTGCTCCACTTCTGATCCAGCTCTCTGCTGTGGCCTGGGAAAGCAGAGGATGGCCCAGTCCTTGAGCCCCTGCACCCACATTGGATCGGCTCAGCTCTGGCCGTGGCAGCCATCTGGGGATTGAGCCAGCAGATGGAGGACCTCTCTCTCTCTCTGCCTCTGCCTCTCTGTAACTCCGTCTTTCAAATAAATAAACAAATCTTTAAAAAAAATTTATATTAGGCCGGCGCCGCGGCTCACTAGGCTAATCCTCCGCCTTGCGGCACCGGCACACCAGGCGGATTCTGTCCCGGTTGCCCCTCTTCCAGGCCAGCTCTCTGCTGTGGCCAGGGAGTGCAGTGGAGGATGGCCCAGGTGCTTGGGCCCTGCAGCCCATGGGAGACCAGGAGAAGTACCTGGCTCCTGCCATCGGATCAGCGCGGTGCGCCGGCCGCAGCGCGCTGGCCGCGGCGGCCATTGGAGGGTGAACCAACGGCAAAGGAAGACCTTTCTCTCTGTATCTCTCTCTCACTGTCCACTCTGCCTGTCAAAAAAAAAAAAAAAAATTTATATTAGATGACTAAATTTAAACTTAATTCAAAGGAAGCTCTACTATAATACATCTTTTTTTAAAAAAACCGATTTTTTCATTTATGTGAATAACAGGGAGAGAGAGAGAATGAATCGATCTTTGACCCCAAATGCCTGAGTCATCATCTTCTGCCGGCCAGGTGCATTGGCAGGGAGCTGGATCAGAAGCAGGGAGTAGTCGGGACTGGAGCCATCACTCCCAATATGGGATGTGGGCAGATTAAGCTACTGTGCCATAATGCCTGTCCTTATAATAATACACTTTTCTAAGATAAACAATTTAAATAGTGTTGCAAAAAAACCTGATTAAAAAAACCAAAGCTGTCATTTTTTAAATAAACACTTCATGATTCAAACGATAAAACTAGAGAACAGTACATTCTCTTATTAATGTACTAACAGAAAAATGAGGTCTGTAGTCCCCTAACAGTACTCAAACTGGATTTTGCTGCATATGTAGGACTCTGGAAATGGTTTAAGCATCTCACATCCATTTGGATCCTGTGATATACAGCAAAACACTCCACCTAAGTCAGTCTATCGTATGGCACCAATTAAAAACAGAAACTTCTCTAGGAATTTATAGGGCCAAAAACGTTCTCATTTTACATCCTTGCTGATTGATTTGGAAGAAATCTGTGCAGGAGAGTACTGTGACTTTTTCTTAGCTCTGCCAGTTTAATCGACAGCTCTAATTCAGAGCCAACTACACCCTCCTCCTCACCCGTGAATTTGGCTTTAGAGTCGCACACGCTATTCATTATAAAGAGGTGCACATCTCAGGCTCTTTTCTTACATCCTGGGTTACTCAAGTCACTGGTCAGCCCAGTTGAATGCATTGTTTGCTGTGGCTCCATGGTGCCACGGTTTACAGATGCAGGTGGTATGACTCCATCACCAGTGGTAGTGCCACCCACACTGAGAGGGTGAAGCAGGTTGTAAGGAGGAAAACAACACTTTTTATAGTAGCATTATTTAACTTATTTTTATGCATTATTTATTTACAACCTACAGAGAGACCTCTTATCTACTGCTTCACACCCCAGTGCTAGAAGTGGTCCCTAGCTGGGGCCAGTGCCAGGAGCCAGGGACTCATCCCAGGTCTCCCTAGTGGGTAGCTGGAACTCAGTCACTTGAGCCATCATCACTCCTCGTAAGGTCTGCATTAGCACCAAGTTGGACTCAGGAGCAGAGAAAGGTTATCAAACCCAGGTACCTGATAGAGGATGCAGGCATCTTGGCCACAAGGCCAGACGCCTGCTCCTTGTGTTGTTATTTTAAACAAACTGTGTTTGGCTTCAAATATCAAGAGATTGATGAAACAGGTTGAGGTTGTAAAGTATGGGTAAGAGCTGCAGAAGACTATGTGGACTATAAAAATGACAGAAGAGGAAACAATATAATTTAGTTACAAAATACTACTATAAAAAGCTTTCTTTATAAAAAGCTCTTTTCTTTCTGGTAGCTTTGTGGGCCATACAGTTTCTGTCACACAATTACTCAGCGCTGCTATTATACCTTGAAAATAGCCATTTATGATACAAATAAGAGAGTGTGGCTGTCTTCCAATACAACTTTATTTACAAAAACAGTGTGGTAGGCAGAATTTGAAGCGAGGGCCATAGCTGGCAAATCCTCCTTCTAGACCAGCACTGTTCAAGAGAAATATAAAGTAAGCCACACATGTAATTGAAAATGTTCTAGTAGCTACAGTGAAACAAAAACAAACAGGTGAAATTAATTTTTGTGATATATTTTATTTAACCCAATGTATCCAAAATATCATTTCAACATGTAATCAATATAAAATACTATCAATGAGATGCTTTACATTTTTTTTGTACCAAGTCTTTGCAATTGTGGTATATTTTACACTTACAGAACGTATTAGCCATACTTCTAATAGCCACATGTAGCTGGTGGTGACCAAATGGGGCCACAGGTTCTAGCCTTTCCATGCTAGGATTGCTAACTAATTTGGCAGTCAGGACACAGTGATGAGATTTTGCCTCTAGGGGGCACAGGACAAGGAATTACAGCTTTTGGGAAACAAAGAATTTGGCCTTGGTCACTTTTAAGCTGAGGTAGCCCAGGATTCCAGGGCACAAACTGATAATCAGACCAATGATCCAGTCAGATGATGCTAGCGTCACCTGCCGATGCAACAAACCTCACATCGAGAGACTTGGTACAGACCACAAAATGACCAAAGTGTGAACACACTATTGTCATCTCTGGCCTTCAGTAAAGAACGCTAATTGTCATTAGCAGAATATTCAGTGTGTGATTTGGAAAATAAAATGTAGACCTGTATAGGAAGGAAAAAAATGCTTCGAATTCATATTGAACTTTTAAAACGATGAAGATAACTAGCTTTCTCAATTATCTTGGTATAGCACAGTTCAATGCTGGTCAGCAACAGTTTAACAAATTACCAAAAGGTAAACAAGGCTCAGCTTACCCCCCGGGACGCTTTTAATTATTGAAACACAACTTCCTAGGTAATCAAATCAACATTTCCAGGTTAGGACTGGCTATGAATCACTATTAATAAAACTTAGAGACCAGTATTTTTAACAAAAAATTTATTACCAAAATACAATATTAAAGTCAATACATGACAAACTCCTGTAAAGCAAAATAAATTATTCTAACATTGTACAGTATTTCCAAAGGTAGTTAGAGAAGCGCTATGGACTTTGCCTCACTGTTCTGAACAGATGAACTGTTCTACCATGAACGCAATCCTAGAGGTTCAGCTTTAAGGCATGCAGCTTGATGTGCAGGATAATTTTACAAAATGCAAATCATCCTATTTTAATAAGATACAGTGTCAGAATTAACTGTAGTCTTTACATGTCAGTGTTCCAGAAATTTTTATACTTTGGCTATAGAAGCAATGCCATAGTGTTACACAATACTTATTTCTTAAAAAAATACATGTATTCATGTCCATGAATATCAAACTCAAATTTCTATTAAATATATTTTATAGAATATTACTTAGAGCACCTTGCTGTACAATAAAAAAAGATTAAATAAGTGTCTATGAAAACTAAAAATATAGTAAGTCTCAATAGAGAAGCCTGCTTGTCTCTGTCAAGCCAAGCACACTGCGGGAAGACACAATGTAAACATGGATGCCCACCATTTGTTTCGTGAGAAAGAACAGAGAAAACTATGGAATCACCAACGCTACCTTAGATAGGATTAAAGATCTAGAGAAAGGCTTCAGTCAGTGTCACTACGTTGCACTGTCTGCGGTCTACAGATCAGATGGAAGGTAAGCACGGTACTGCGGGAACACTGGGGACTCCAACCATGTGCTTGTTTATTAAGACCGGGAGTAAACGACAGAGCTCTGAAAAATATCTCATAATGATCAGAATGCATCACCTTTTCCCTCGCCAGCGCTGCCTTATCCAGTAAGTTTCCTTTAAAATCGAACTTCACTATCAAATTCTGGAATTGTAGGTGTTCAGAGCAGAAAACAAATACAAGGAGCATTGGATAACAAAAGGTCTAACAGCAATAAATAAAGTGATATTCCTATAAAGCAAACTACTACTGATTATTTTAATAGCTATCTCTTTTACAATTACAATTGCATATTTAATCTTCATTATTACTTTAAGAAAACTCAATTGTTCGTGGTAGAGACACTGTTAAATTAAGGCTTGCCACAAAACAACAGGAAGGTATAGAACATTCTTGGTATATGATTCCTCCGACAGGCCAGGAGAAAGCTTTTAAGACATTCAAAAGCCAGAATTCCATGAAAGGTTAAAGGCTTTGAACCTGTGGGTTAATTTTCCCCCATGAACTAGGGAAATTTTAAATCCATGATTCCAAATGGAAAGACTTAAGTAGCAACCAACGGAAGTGGTTTAAGGAAATGGAAGAAAGGTAATTTAAATAGTCACACTATTGAAGTTTTGGGGATACTTTGGTTATTAGTATTTTCCAAATGATTACATAAAATGAAAGACAAAGAAAATTTATCAAACAAAATTCTTGTCAGGTTGTTAACTTCTGGAATAACAGATTTTATAAAGAAATAATGAGTCACAGTTATCAGCAATGAAAAAACTGGCCGACATGAGCGGCAATAACATGAGTGGTAAAAAATGTGACTCTTTAAAATACTGTATTTGAATTTGAAATAAATATTTCAATTCTGAAAACAGGAGAAAATGAATTTAAATCCAAATACAATGGATTTGGGGTATATAATTTAGTATATATAACTTCATGTTTTTTTTTTTTTAAAAGCACAAATCAGAAATGGATTGTTTCATAAATAAAAGCTAACTAAATCATAGAGCTGCAAAGTTACAATCAATTGTTTAAATATCATTAGCAAAATGAGATAAAAAATAAAAACAAATCAGACAATGTTTCAAGACACCTGGCCCCACTTAAATAGTTCCTAATACTATCTTTAAAATATTAATTCAATTCATAACTGGACTTTGGAAACAAAATGTCTACAGAGTTGCCCACTCAAAAAACTCTGTTTCGCACGTTCTAAGTTTAGCAGAGTCATGGCCTTAACTCTAGATGTTAAAAAATCAGGATTCAGAATATTCAGAAACTCAGAAATAGCACCGTGAAAACTGGCGCACTGGCCTTTTGACTTGTAGGTGAAGTTCACGTTAATAAACAATGCATAAATAAGTGAATACAACTACAAAAACAGAAACGACCTGTGTCTTTCACCTTTGGAAATAACTATAGTACAAAATGTGAAATTAATGAGATTACGTCTATTTGATGGCAAAAGCACTTTTAGTTGGTTTTTAACATGTCCTATATCATACTGGAAATTCCATTTGGAATTTCTTAGAAATCCTATGGATTTACTGAATGCTGTTTGTTGATTAAGTTTTTATAAAGAACCTGAATTTCTACTGTATTTTAGTCACATTTGGTTTCTCCTCTTCTGTTAAACATGACTAAACTAATAAACTCCAGGAAGGAAAATCTCAAGAGCAGCACTCATTTTAAAAGGCTCCTGAATTTTACCCCACATCCAGCTGATTTTCACCTTACGAGTTCAAATTATTTCTATGGGGCTGATGATCAAAAGCAAGTTTTCATACCCTGTTGCCTCAGCAGACTCTCAGATAACCAGCATGATCTCGTTTAGCCGAGAGGATTAGGAGGACCGTGTATCTAGGCAAAGCGTGCTGTGTCCCATCAAACACTCTGAAAAGAACCTGTGAGAAGTGCACTGTGCCCAGTGAATTACCATTTCTGTGAACTTGAGATCTGTTTCAAGTCTGATGGGAATTCACCTATTTCCTCCTTTGCCCATAAGAAATTCATTGTAATTTAAGACAATAATTTACTTCTTAATTGCATTGCTGACAGTCCAGATTTGGTTTAGAGGTCTCTCTTTTCCTTCTTTTTTTTTTAGGCGTAAAGGGAGAAATCTCAGCTCGGGTAGAGGATTAATTCCTATAAATTGAGGGAACGATTTAAGTGGGTCATTTTAAAGCCCTCCGTTTCCCTGTCGACTCTGTCGGTGACACAGAAAGAAACCCTGTTCGAGCTGCCTCCTTCTTCTCACCAGAGGCCTGTCATCCTAGAGCTGGCATGTGAAACGTGAGAATGAAGAAAACGAGGCTCTGCTGCAGACTGCGACACAGATAGCATACATTTTAGAGCAACGCCTTGCAAAGCCCTTTCGTAACTCTTCTTGCATTTCTACACTACAATAAGCTTTTGATAATAAATACACTCGACACTAACATGGGTGATAGAGGGTTAATACAGGTTTACATTTTTGCTTCCTCCTCAACCTACTTCCCTTCACTGCTTACCCATCTGGAATTCATTTTACAACGGGTTTAGTTCCAAAGTTGCATCTGTCACTTCTGAAAACCATACCGACTCTTTTTTCTGTGTCTAGTAAATTAGCTACCTGACAACAAAGGTGAGGCTGTGGTTTAAGGGGATCCTCGTCTACCAAGTTCTTCTTCAAGTGATTATTTCCCCTAACTTGTGTTTACGGTTGTGTTGTGGTCCTTGTTTAGGATGATGTTGACAATCTCACCCTCATGCTCTTTCATATGATCCAAGAGATTTTCTTTGCTGGTTGACTCAAAACCACAAATACAACAACAGAAGAGTAAAACACAATACTCCATACCAGGAGGGGCAAGGTTGGAGTTTTTTTCTAAACTATATGAGGTATTATTTGTTGGGCTCAGTTTCTCATTCTCGTTGGGATCTACAACTTCACCGGGAGCCTGGGAAATCAGCTCTGAGGATGACACGGAGTTTTCTGAACTTCCAGTGACAGGGTCGGCTCTCTCTTCACTGCCGGTTAGAGTCTTTCCAGAGGATTTTCCAAGAACTCTTCAAAACAAAACATACAAAGCTTGAATGAGTCATAATGTCGGACTAGTGGTTTTAATCCTAGCTTTATCTATAGCAATAAAGGGAAGGGGTAGAAGAGATACCTGCCACTTTGGGAAATTGCGTCATTGATAGCCTTGTTCACTTGTTCGTAGTTGTAATTTTGGTCACTTGCATGCTTCCACATGTGAGACTTCAGAGAAGGAGGATGGCTGCACACGTAGCCACACAAAGAGCATCTGAAAGACAGGCATGCACAACCTTAACACTTCATGAGAGTCTCGTGGCAATTATTACATTTCAGATTGAGAAGCTACCGCATACATTAAAAAAAAATTATTTATGGGGTCAGGGCTTTAGTGTAGTGGGTAGAGCCGGCAGTTGCAGTGCTGGCATCCATCCCATACAGATGCCATTCGAGTCCCAGCTGCTCCACTTCTGATCAAGCTCCCTGCTAATGGACTGGGAAAGCAGCAAAGGATGGCCCAAGTGCTTGGGTCCTACTCCCACCTGGAAGACCTGAAAGCAGCTCTGGCTCCTGGCTTTGGATCAGCTGAGCCCTGGTAGTTGTGGCCATCTGGGGAGTGAACCAGTGGATAGAAGACCCTCCCCCCCCCGCCGTCTCCCTCTCTCTCTCTGTAACTATCTCTACCCTTCAAATAAATAAATAAAGAAATCAAAAAAAGATTTGTTTGGCCAAGCCAAAGCCAGGAGCTTCATCTGGGTTCCCCCCAGGCTGCAGGGGCTCAAGCACTTGGGCCATCTTCCACTGCTTTCCCAGGCGCATTAACAGGGAGCTGGACCAGAAGCAGAGCAGCTGGGACTTAACCGGTACACATAAGGGATGCTGGAGCTGCAGGTGCTGGCCCCGAAACAAACTGTTGCATATATTTGGGAACATTTGGTAAAATGTGAATTTCACAATGAAGCCCTTTAAAAGTAATAGACTATTTTTTAGAGTACTTTTAAATTTACAGAAGAAAATTGGTCACATAACAGATTTCCCATCCAGCCCTTCTACCTATTTCCTCTTATTAACATTGTGCATTAGTGTAGTATAATAGTAGAAAGTGATGAATCATACTATTATTAAAGTCCACAGCTTACATGAGCATTCTACCTGTTCTGACAAATGTGTACTATCACGAAGCCACCACTGGTCTTATCCTGAGGAGTTTCACTAACTTGAAATCTTCCACCTAGTCAGCCCTCTCTCCTTGTCCCAGTCCCTGGTAACCATGCATCTCTTTTTAGTATCTCCGTTTTGCTTTTCCTAGAATGTCATATAACTGGAGTCACAGCAACATGTATTTACAGCTCCTTTATGTTTTTAGTGGCTGAATAGCTTTTTCTTACTGCTGAGTAAGATCCCACTGTATGGATATACCACAGTTTATTTACTCATTCACCTGAGGAAAAACAACTTGGTTACCAGTTTTTTATAATCGTGAACAAAGATGATATAAACATGCATTTGCAGATTTTTCTGTGACTAGAAGGTTTCACCCTTTGGGTAAATAACTAGGAGCATAACTGCTAGACTGTATTGTAAAACTATGTTTGCCTTTTTTAGGAAATTGCAAATGTACTTTGCAAAAGACACTTAATTACAAACTTCATCAATCAGATAGCTCAACCGAATTCTTTCTTATACCAGTAAGCAATAACAAAGCATAAAGCAAATCAAAGAGTAAACAAAACAATTAGATAAGGACAGGTACTAAAACCTTACTCTCGCCCCTCGCCAATTTAACTTCATGACAGCACTAGTAGTATTCCTTTATTAAATGTCCTGAGGACCAGCTCCAACGCCAAAGGTCTTTGATCTCAAGAAATACCAGCCTAGATAAAGACAATACAGCAGTATTTTCCAGAGAACTCCTAAGAAATTCAACCCCAAAGATGCTCGGTGACATCAGTCAAGGAAATGCCCTGGATTGGCAGAGATGAGTAGGTCTGCTAAGATCCTTCACCATGTGGAGACAGGGAAAGCACAAGCTGCATGCGCGTATACACAAGCATTGCAAAGAACAGTGTGGCAGCAGCTCTTAAAAACCTGCCACCCACAAAGTCCAGGTTTAGGTGTTCACGCTAAAGGCATTCTCAAACACACTCACAAAGACATGCCTATAAGAATAATACTGAGGCCGGCGCCGTGGCTCAATAGGCTAATCCTCCACCTTGCGGCGCCGGCAAACCGGGTTCTAGTCCCGGTTGGGGCGCCGGATTCTGTCCCGGTTGCCCCTCTTCCAGGCCAGCTCTCTGCTATGGCCAGGGAGTGCAGTGGAGGATGGCCCAGGTGCTTGGGCCCTGCACCCCATGGGAGACCAGGAAAAGCACCTGGCTCCTGGCTCCTGCCAGGATCAGCGCGGTGCGCCGGCTGCAGCGGCGGCCATTGGAGGGTGAACCAGCGGCAAAGGAAGACCTTTCTCTCTCTGTCTCTCTCTCTCACTGTCCACTCTGCCTGTCAGAATAAAAAAAAAAAAAAAAAAAGAATAATACTGAGGCCATGCATAGTAAAAACCAAAACGAAACAAAAACCTATAACCAGTGTTCTTCCACAAGGATATGGAACACATAATGGAACATTATAGAGTGGTTGAAATAAAGAACTAGATCTACACGGATGAACCGATGTCAATAAAAGAAGCAACAAAAAGATTTGCTCTGTTGTTATTAATACACACATACACGTTATGTGTAAAGTTACTGAAAAAATGCCTAAAACAACACACGTTAACTTCAGGACAATGAGTTAGTGGGCAGGAAGAGCTGAAGATGTGAGGTTCTGGCTATTTCTATAAAATTTTACTTCTTTACAATGTGGTAAAATGTTTGAAATGTTTTATTCTTTTAATATTTTAAAAAATGCTATCCTATTTTCCTTAAGACTTTAAGGACAAATAAAATTACCACATTTATTACTGGCGACACACACAAAAAACTTAATTCATTTTATTTTGCTTACTCCCATTTAAGATGCATCAATTTTGTGACAAATCTCAATAAATGTGTTTTCAGCAGTATCTCCATAGAAGGGCCAGCATGGCCATCACTCTCAGCCCAAGCCATTAAACTGGGTGCCTGTGTATCACTGCACTGGTCACACCGTAGCCTGTCGTGTGGTTGCAGTCCACTGCTTAAGTGTTCTGGTATCAGCTCACTGAAAGGAATGCCAGCCTCATGCCGGTGTTGGGCACTCAGTCAACACTAAGCAAGAGAGGGCCCAGTCATTTCTCCCTAGAACTTTCACTAAGTCAATGCCTGCATGTAACTTGAGCCTGTGAGATAATTTATAATACCAATACTCTCCTATTTATGTCATGCAAAGGGAAAACAGACCTGAAATCTTGGTTGTTCAAATTACTTGTCTCCTCATGTATTCAATGCTGTTGCTCTGAAGCCTCACGAGAAACTTCCGTATGCAGAATGAACCACACTGCACAAAGGGTCCCCTGTGTGGAAGTCAGTGTCATGCAAGTAGAATTTCACACGTCATGAAAACCGAGGGAAAAACCCCAGCTTAAACAAGTGGGGAGTAAGAGTGGCTTTCAAAAGCTGGGCAGCAGTAGGGAGAGGGGGCTGGTACAAAACTACATCCAGAGCCAGCCAGGACAATTACTTCCTGGTGTCCACGGCACAGCAGAGTGACTACAGTTAGCAACACTTTATGGTGTACTTCAGAGTGGCATCAAGAGAGGACATTCTGAATAGTCGCAGCAAAAGCGCAGTTTCAGGTGATGGGCATGCCCACTACCCTGATTTGATCATTACACATTGTATACACGTATCAACGTATCACACTGCATCCCATAAACACATTTATTAAAAATAAAATAAAAAGAAACCCCAGAAATTTCAAATTTATCTTGTAAAATCTCTCCAATATTACTTAAACCTTAAGGAAAAAAAAGTGTTAGCCGGCGCCGCGGCTCACTAGGCTAATCCTCCGCCTTGCGGCACCGGCACACTGGGTTCTAGTCCCGGTCAGGGCGCCGGATTCTGTCCCGGTTGCCCCTCTTCCAGGCCAGCTCTCTGCTGTGGCCAGGGAGTGCAGTGGAGGATGGCCCAAGTGCTTGGGCCCTGCACCCCATGGGAGACCAGGATAAGTACCAGGCTCCTGCCATCGGATCAGCGCAGTGCGCCGGCCGCAGCTCGCTGGCCGCGGCGGCCATTGGAGGGTGAACCAACAGCAAAGGAAAACCTTTCTCTCTGTCTCTCTCTCTCACTGTCCACTCTGCCTGTCAAAAATAAATAAATAAATTAAAAAAAAAAAAACTGTTGAGCTATTCAATTAAGTAACTGCTCTCTTATTTTTTGAGTGGGGGAGAGACAAAGAGAGAGAAGAGTTCCCATGTACTGGTTCACTCCCCAAGTGCCTACAATGGCTGAGGCTGTGCTAGGGTTGGGAGCGGGGACTCAATCCAAGCCTCCCACACGAGTGGCAGGGACCCAACTGCCTGAGCCATCATCACTGCCTCCTAGGGTTCCCATTAGCAGGAAGTTAGAGCAGGAGCTGGAGCCACAACTCCAACTCAGGCACTGGGGATTTGGGATGTGAACAGCCTAGATCGCATCTTAACCTCTAAGGCAATGCCCATGCCTGTTCTTTTTCCAAAAACAGAAATGTTGGGGTGGACACTGGAGTACAGTAGGTTAAGTCAATGCTTGGGATGCCTGTATCTCATGTCAGAGTTCATGAGATTGAGTCCCACTTCTGCTTCTGATCCAGCTTCCTGCTAATGTGCCTGAGAGGCAGCAGATAATGGTTCAAGTACACCTGACATCCACGTGAGAGACCTGGATGAAGTTCCTGGCTCAGTCTTGGCTATTGTGGACGTCTGGAGGGTAAACTAGCAGATGGAAGATCTCTTTCCCTCTACCTTCCCAAATAAATTAAAAAATAGATAAACATTTAAAAAATCAAAATTACACTTCTCAATTTCTGAACTGTCATAGGTTTAAAGGAAAGTTGAGCTTTTTCTGCTTAACATGTTACATCCCTGTGGTATGTGTGCCATAAATAAGGAAACAATGTTGACATATTATTAACTGAAGTCCATACTTGATTTGGTTGTCCTGTTTTTTAATCTAATGTGCTTCTTGTAGTCCAGGATCTTACCTAGGATACCAGGTTACGTTTACTCAAATGTTTCCTTAAGATCTACGTTCTAACAGTTTCTCCAACTTGCTTTATTTTAACTGATCTTAAGATTTGAGGCCTACTGGTTAGACATTT